TTGGAAAAGGAAAAGAGAATCTGACGCGTGAGGAACCGGAAAAGAGTCCCTGATTCGCCCTCGCTATGTGTGTGCGTGTTGTGTGAGTGAGCGCGAGGGCGGGCGCGGCTGATGAGCTGATCAGCGCCAGCTGTTTTGAATGAGGATGTCCGATATATTGTTTGTTACCTCGTCCTGTCTTTGTCAGTTGGTTGTTGAGGCTACCAAGGTTCTACTCGCCGTGTTCTCCTGCATTCCACTCCTGTGGTTTCCTGAGATTTTCCCGGAGGAATTTCTACCTGTTCCTGCATCTGTGTCTGCCCACTGCGTCCCTGCGTTGCCGAGCCTGAGTCTTCTTCTGTCTGCTTCCATTTTGACCCACACGGATATCTACTATTGTGCTCAATAAATTACTGTTTACTCGCAACTGAATCCTTTGACTATTTCCTTGTGACAGTTCCACTCGGTCGGGCTTTCACTAGTTGGCGCGAGCTAAAAAGCAGCACTGGATTCAACCGCGATGCTGACCTGGCGATCTTGTTGATGGATTAAGTAGCCTAAATCTCTTATTTCTAAACTTGATTGCGTTCTATGTTGTTGCGCTTGCTTGTAGTATGCCATTTTTTTTACGATGCTGTTCATTCATCCATTGTTGATAATTAGACCAGTCCAAAAATGTCCACATATGTCTAGATAGCTATTTACGACAGTGTAAGTGTTCCACAGCGACTATAGGGGTCACTGTTTGACTAAAACACAATTTCTGCATAATGTGCCTTTAAAAGTATTTTAAAATCTGTTGTTAAACATCCAGGTGAACGTCTCTGGTTACTATCGTAACCTTGGTTCCATGAGAGGCGGTAATTCTACACTGCGTCAGCTGACGCTGCGGAATGACGCTGCGCTCCTCCCTTCTCCACTTTTGTTGAAAACATGGCGGCTAACACAATGTCTCGTTCCTGCCTCTCAGGGAACCGAGGTTACTATAGTAACCAGAGAAGTTCCCTTTCGAGAGCGGTAACTTCTACATTGCGTCAGCTGACGCTGCGGGAACCATGGCTGCACTGATCTAGGGCAGACACAACGTAATAAGCACTCAAGCATGAAAGTAAACAGTGTCAACGGTGGTAGCTTCCGACTGAAGGAAGGCGCCGCGCGATTCACATGCATCCGCAAAGCCCTGTTACAGCGCTCTGAGCGTCAGCGTCACGTGAGGATGACAGCTCAGCAGATAAGCGGGCAGAGAAACACACTGTGCTTTGAAGGGTGTAACGTTAAAGAGAGACTCAGGCAAGTAGCCCCTTCTCGGCCGGAGAGTAACGCTGCAGTCGACGCCGGGTCCAAAACAGATTACATCACCGTCCATGAGAACACGTGTAAGTCTCCAATGTGCTTAGCTGAAGCAAGGGCAAGGAGCAGAGCCGTATTTTAGGGAGAGCTCCTTAACAGCAATCGAAACCAAGGGCTTGAAAGGCGGTAGAGAATGAGCCCTCAAAACTAGAGCTCCCACGGCAGCACTGAAGGTGGCCGTGAAGGACATAATCTCCCAACGCATTCTCATCCTAAGGTGTCATATACTGACGCTTTTGCCAAAGCGTCTACATCCGACGCACATGGCACCCTTTAGCGTCAATATAACATGCTTCGGTTATGGGTAGGTTTAGGTCTGGGGTAGTGTTAGGGTTAGACCACTAGGAGGCGCCATATATCTGCGTCTCATATTGACGCTAAAGGGTGCCATGTGCGTTGGATATAGACGCTTTGGCAAAAGCGTCAGTATATGACGCCTTGGGATGAGAACGGGCTGAATCTCCTCACTCCCCTGAGAAATCTGAGCACCAGAGCATGCCTGTAATATCGATTGCCCGTAACCGGGGAACGAAACGAAGCAGTAGCGGCCACGTATCCCTTCAGCGGATACTGAAGTACCATCCTGGCACCATTTACACCAATCACAGAATAGATTCTAGCAGTCCTCTAGCATTGCTCACAGCTGATAGGCAGGGCCAGACCAATGAGCTGCTCAGCTCAAGTACACCAGAATTTGCATATCAGCTGGAATCTTAGGCTGTACTAAGATAATAATGAGAGCTGCATAACAGCATAATCTCATATCAGTATGTACATAAACACAGCGTCATCAGCCGAAGCGGAAACAACTGTGAATAGACGTAGTAGATCAGAATAGCCAGTTGCTCTGAATAATACAGGGCAACATAACAGCATAATTACATATCAGTATGTACATGAGCACAGCGTCAGCAGCCGTAGCGACAACAACTGTGAATATACGCAGTTAGATCAGAATAGCCGGTTGCACTGAAGGATACAGGGCAACATAACAGCATAATCACATATCAGTATGTACATAAGCACAGCGTCAGCAGCCGTAGCGGCAACGTAGTCAAGCAAACACGTAGTCGAGACTCAAGACTAAAAGATAAGTGAGGTTAATCACTCACCGAAAGCACTGTTCTGTGAAGATCAGCCGGTTGCAAAACATACAACCCTAAAGACGCGCTTACCTTGCCCATGAAGAGGCGATAGACCTTGACGAGTGAGCTCACACAGTAAGGGGGGGGGGGGGGGGTCTTTCCTCCTGAACGCGTGCTAGTGAAGTGCTAGGTTGATGGGTCTCGGGTCCAGTATCAGACGGAGTCCTCCATCCCTCTTGGGCACCACAAAATAGCGGCTGTAAAACAGCTCGCCTGTCAGAGGCTGTGCACTTCCTGTCTCAGAACGGGGCGTTTTGAGGCAAAGTCAGTGACGGACCCACGCCTTACACAGGGTGGTCTGCGTCTGAACTGAAGAGAATACCTGTGTTGAATTATCCCCAATAGCCAAGGTGAAACGCCTGGAATAACCCTCCACGCTAGAAAATGACACCGCGGCCGTATTAGTCCTATGGCCGCTGTTGCCAGTGGTGATGTGTGTAGACTGGAGCCCTGCCCCAGCGAGGCTAAACGCGCTGGCGGCTAGTGGAGGGCAGGCTGGCTGCCTATCGGGCACGAGCCGTGTCATGCACGGCGGGGGAACATTGGCACTCTCGCGTTTTTCCATCGAGAGGCCACTATAGGCACGGACTGCGACTCTGCGCTGCTCTGGGGCAGGGCGAGTGACACAGTGATTGGAAAAGATGAGGAGGAAAAGGCCCTTTGCGTGAAGGGATATGTGCTCTTATTGTGGAGCTCACACAAACAGACACAGCATTTACACAAACATTGCAAATGTCGCCTGCAGGAACAGAGGGGACATGAAGCAGAACACAGCGCTTGGGGGCGGGACCTCCAATGAACTCTCTCCTCCTTTTGGATGGTCCATAGGACGAAGGCTTGGCAGCCGAGCACGGCACGTCTTAGCGGCGCAGGCTTCTCCGAAGTCCGTGACGCTACATTCCCGGTCCCGCCCACTGCCTGCGGCGAACATCCGGCTCAGGGAGGAGAGCCGCAGCGGGCTGCTCAGCTGATCTTAGGCGGGACGAGGTGCTGACAAAGAGAGAGACCTCGACGAGGGCTGGAACGAGCGACGGGGCAACATTCGTGACTCATAGCCTTCGCGCTTTTGCGCCTCAGAGAAATGCTCAGTAACTGACTCCATGGCGTCACCAAGAGGCCGGAGGGAGTGATTGGAGCCTTTCTTTTTTCAGCCAGATGAGCCGTGAACTGCAAGACGCCCAGAGACGAACGGACGGGCACAGATGCACGACGACAGTCTCCTCAACGGGGGGCATGCGCACAGAGCCGTGGGCTTCCGCCTCGTCCCTTTGGACACACGCCGATTGGGGTGCAGACGGAGTCCTCCTCCTCGAAGCAGCCTGGCGGCGGCCCGACTGGAGTTACCTAGGAATTCGACTTACTCCTTTTTTACGGAGCATTTAACGTTGAGTCCAGCGCATCCGCGAAAAGGACCGGTGGAAAGTGGCGAAGGCAGAGGACTATGGCCCCAGGCCTCGTCGTCACCGTCGTTTCTGGGTGGGGGTGGGGGTGGGGGTGGGCCCACCTGCTGGCGGCAGTGGGCCTCGACCCCGTAATAGCAAAAACCCTTCCTGGTTCTCAAGTGCGCACTGGCAAGTCGGCGCAGTGCACGGACGTGGAGTCCAAGAAGGCTGCCTCGGCGTGGGCCTGGCCCAGGCAGGCGGCGCAGTACTCGTAGGTGTGGGGCAGGTCGATAGGGCCCACACAAATCCTGCAAAGGTTAGCCATCGGATGCGAGGAAGAAAAGGTAACTAGTCCTCAGGTGCAACTTCAATGATGACAGCGTGAAGAAAATGATTCTGACGCAATTGTCGCGCCCATGCATTTTATACTGGCTGCGAGCCTGTCAGTATTTGCATACTTCGCGTCCGCGACAATTAGCCAGCTGCTCCAAGCTGGCGTTAGCCCATAAGATTTCAACAAAAGTGGAGAAGGGAGGAGTTCCCGCAGCGTCAGCTGAAGCAATGTAGTTACCGCTCTCGAAAGGGAAACACAATTTCTTAACCATAAACATGCTGTCATCTGTCTGCTGAAAAGGCAAATCAGATTGCAGACCTTTAGGGCGCGTTGTGATATTCTGAAAACGACGTTATAAATGCAGGCAGACGTTATAAATGCAGGCAGAGCTTTGCCTTGTATTTTTTGCCTTGTACTTTGTCTTGCAACCGTAATATTGAAAACGTTAGATTTCATGTCAGCTAATTTCTGAAAGTTAATTCATACAAAGAGAATGGTCATGTTCGTAGTGTTCATGTTTGTATTAGTGTGGAAGATGTAAATTATCTGAGGGATTCTTGTGCGTTGAATTCAAAAGTCAAGGATGCATATTTTGATTAAGATCGAAATTAGGTTAAGTAATTTTATTTAACCACAGTTTAATTTTATTACACGAGTACATCGTCTCATCATGACCTTTGTTTTGGCGGGTGGCGGCCCATGAGTCCCCCCGACACCGGAAGCTGTTAGACTCTACTTTAAAATCGCGGTGCTGCTTGATCGCGCTGGAGCACTGAGTAGGTGAGTGACAGGCGCGTTAGCTGCTACGTGAGCGGCTCGCGAGGTCGCATTGAGGGCAGCACAGCCGTCTTTTACCGTTCCCAAAGCTCGTTTCGTGTGAGCCAAAAGTGCTGTTTCGTGGAATGACCCAGTTTGCTGAGGAGGAAAGGGATTGAGGTTGTCTGACTGCAGCTGAACACGCTAAAGTTTGTCGGGTCTTTTCCGGCGGGTGTGTGGAGGTAGGCGGCTAAACGAGCGCGCTAACAGACCTTTTTAATCATGAACCAGAAAATCATGAAGAGCTGTTAAACCAGATATATTGTGTGGTATAGTGTGTTTTATTCACTTACAGTCCATAATTGTACCAACAATGTTTTATTCCTTAAATAGAAAATGATAAGAGTAGTTTTTTCTGGCTCCAGCAGTCTTAGCATCTTAGCACAAATCTCACTGACTGAATTTAACCACGTCAAAATCTGTCCAAAATAAACTCTTATTATTGTTGTTAACACACTCAATAACGCTCTTCTATATACGTTAACCTAGGTAAGTTAGTTACTTAAACAAAAAGATTAAATAAATGTGTATATCATTCGTCTATATTTAAAGTGTGTTCTCCATTAAATTAATCATGTTGTCCATGTTGTAGGGTGTTTTTTATCCACATGCTTTCAATCAAAACATCACGCTATTACAGATTAAGTGAATCCTGTTGTTTTTTTCACACTGTATTCATACTTATGAGGATCCTAACTCGACCTGATTTTGGTTTAGTAAACTTTCTAGCCTGAAGCTGAGTTTAGAAACCATAACTGTTAGATGACTAGGATGGATCAAGTGATTTGCTGATTTGACAAGAGTAGGCATTGGGCTTTTTTCCCCTGACAAGAATGTTTAGCAAATCAGTTTTCAGTTCTCTTTGCTGGTTTTACTGTGTAGTAAAGTGTGAGGCTTCCTTTTTCTTTTCCACGAATTTAATCATGGTCATGAGTTTTCAAACTTTTGATATGGCTGTCATGTTTTGTTTCACCTGTTGTACTTTAGCTCCTCAAACTCATCAGAGTCAAGCTTCTTTTGTGAAGATATTATTAGTGGTTTCAACCAGATAAAGTTACTTATGAAAGTTGCATTTCTTTAAACCAATTTGTCTGATTAGTTTGTCAAGAGGTTATGATTTGTATCAAACCTTGCCTGGGACTTTTTTCTGAAACCAAAGGGGTTTTTTTCTAACCTCTAATGCTTTTGAGTAATATTGCACTTTTTTTTTTTATGATCCTTTTACATTGTGCTTTTGTTGTAGGTTTTGATACGTAATGATATGACGCAGCGCCTGAAAATAGTTCCGTTGTGTTGACGGAAGGTGGCCTATTTTCAGGCGCTGCGTCATATCATTACGCCTGCTGCTCTCATGGCACGGCAGTGAAGTTTCTTGATTATTACGCAGGAATGAGAGTATAGTTCCTAGCCATATCAGCCTAGAAAATCGCAACTTTACATTTTCCGTCGGTCTTAGTGCACGATGTAACTACAGAAGAGTCAAGTTTTAAATAGGAAAAATATCGAAACTCTTTGGTCATTTTTTTTTTTTTAGAAATGCTAATGGTCTTGTCCACTTCAATGATGTATGCTAAGCTATGCTAAAAGTGGTACCGCCAGAACCGGAGATCGGCTGAACGGATTCAAAAACGGTAAAACTCAACAGTTTAACTCTGGGGGAGTTGTAAAATGAGCCTATTTCCAAAAAAAGTGGAGTATCCCTTTAAGTTAGAGGGGTGTAAAAATGACTTTAGAAAGATGGCATCATCATTTTATTTTTACACAGATTGGTAGGTCTATTAGTAAAATCCGCTAGTTAACCGCCAAACCACGTGATTTGTTGCTTCACCGCGGTAAGAAAAAAATCCCATACCGTCACAGCCCTAATCATGTACATAAATTCACCTGCTATGTTGCTTTACATCATTTTTCATATCAACAGAAAACTATACCAGGATAACCTGGCTTCTCTTGAGACCCCCTGCTTTGCAGTTATGCTAAAGCCCGCCCGACACATTGATGTGATTGGTTATAAGGTAGTTTGTGACGTCAGAAACACCAGGGATTTCAAACCGCGTTTTTGAGACTTTCTTTGGTTCACTGCAGTTTTAGGGAGAAAATACTCAGCAATGCTGTCGACTTATGAATTTGCACTTGGTTTGTCTTAAAGCATATTAAAAACACCACATAGACATATAAACAAAATTTCAAACTTGATTTTCACCACAGGGGGTCTTAATTCATTGGTGTAAGAACAGATTTATTTTCCGCATGTTTAGTTTACAGAATATAATTTCTATTCATTGAATTATGCGATCTGAAGAGCTTGAAACAGCGTATAGAGTGCCGTTTTCTTCCGTGTTGTTATGAGTCAGAGAGCTCCAGAGCTGTCAATCATATTATGTGATCCTCATAGCCTAGATGGTTTGTGTTTCTGGCATAGTAACAAACTTAATTTATCTTAATATACTGTTGTATGTTGTGTTGTGGATGAGATTAAATCCAAATGGGAAAACCTACTAGATGCACACATGAGGAAAAATGTATTCTGGCTCAGCGCCACCTATCGTTCAGGCGTGAATTTAGCTGAAGACGATCAACCATTTCATGTTCGGTGTTAAAGCTTTGTTCGTCTGCGCTTAGCTTTATCGCGTTACGCTCAGTGTGAGAGGGCCGTTATTTAGTAGAAACAACTTTTTCGTTTTATTTTTTTGCAGGGCAAGTGAAAAATTTAACCACAATTTGCCAGTAGAAAAAATCCTTAGCGTTGAGCCCTGCTATGATTTCAGAAGACGTTTAGCAGAGCAGTTCTTTTGGTTCACAGACCATTCAGTCTGCCTTAGATGAAGATCAGGGAAGTTTAGCTGTTCATGCTGTGTGGCGAAAGCAGCCTCTCCATCCTAATATGGAAAGACTTCAGTAATGATGCCATACTTGAGTGAGGGCGGTAGATATGTTTATTTTTTACAGAAACTTTTACAGGAGAAAAAAGAGAATTCAAGTTTTTAAACTAGCTATGGATTGACTTCACTTGCATGAATTTGCTTGCTTTTGAACATAATTTGCATTATTTGGAGTTGCAGATGTGGTCTTGCACTATCCGTCCATGTGTATGTCTGTTAGTGTTTTCTCCATACATCATGTGTGACTCATGGCTGGAAATTGTTTGCTGCTTAAATGCTCCAATAATCACATTCTACATTTTTACCTCTGGTCATTTTCTCTCTCGGTGGCCTTAGCTTGGCATCTCATTGCCTTTTCTACACTGCCTTTACCATTAAGGGAAGAAAATTATCTGTGCATGCCAACCATTCCTGCAAAACCAGAATCAGACTAAGGCATTCAAGCAACGGCACCCATGAACCTCTCCAAATAACACTGGATGAGTTTAGTGTTCCTTGAGTGCACACAGACTGGACAATGTTTAGATTTGGCCCCTCACCAAGGACTCATAACTTCAGAAGACTTGTGTTTGGCTGCACGTGTTTGCTATATGAAACCCAGCTGAGTGGTTTTCTGTGACACCTTTTTACACTAAAATTATTAGCCTGTGTGTATTATTTATTCTGAATAGATCCCACATGGTTGCAGCAGCGATCTGAGAAGTTCATGTAAAGAATGTGTTCATTCAAGGATGGGCAGAGTAAATGTTTTTTTTTCTGATCAATGTACTTGGTCTGCATTGAATGTAAAGCTGTTCAGAACGCAACTGGTTTTCGCTTTAAAAGCCAGTGGTGGTTAACTGTTAACTCGGCGAACTGACTTTTATGTGAATGCACTTTCAGTGCTGTTATCTAACAGACTTGGTTTTTATGTTAAAGCATTTTTTATTACGGTACAATATTATCATCGCAAATAGCTTTGTTACTTCTAAAAAGAAACAGTCATCTTTCAAATTCTGAAATTCATTCAATTCAAATAGTAAATGGCGTTTTGACGCTCTTAAATGTGACGTAACAGATCGCTGTAGCGCCTCAGTTCAAGCGGCTGCACGAGTCTTTTCTTCCACTTTAATACAAATTTTATATAGAAAAAAATGCATGCATATCAGAAGGTATGTTGAAAGATACAGTACAACTTACTGAAATCCGTATCATGTCTCATATCATCTCTCAATCAGTATTTTAACCGTGGAAAGATGTCACTTAACGTTGCATTTACCTCAGGAAAGTCATCCGTTTGTTAGTTAGCTATAAAAAGAGCTTACTCTTCATTATGTATGTATGTATGTTGCATGAAGAGAAGTGCTTATGAAAACTACCTTATATGTGCAACTGAGTTGTATACAAACATTCCTGGTTTTTTGGGTTTTAATTACTGAAATTAAATAGTAGTTTAATATAATAAGTCTGCTGTTAATTGCTACCAATATTATAGTGTACCAAATGAGATGGTTCCCTGTATAGTTTGCAGCATTATTTGGGAGAGATTTGTTTTTTCCATAAGAAAAAACAAATAATCGGCTATCTGTGTAGGCTGAGAAATTTAATATTGGTGCATCTCTACGGAACTCACTGTTCCGATCGGGCCAGTGCTGAATCGTCATTAAAGTTTATCATTTGCATGAGTTTTTAAGCCTTGCCAATTTAAACATTCAAGCGCAAGAAGACTCAAAATAGAAATCATTTCGGTACTTGTGTCTGACAGCATGCGAAAACAGAATTGAGTTCTTTTTCACGTTTTCTTGCGCTTTAACAGACAACTTAACACAAAATTGTCAAAATGCCTGTCTTGGAGAGTATCCTAGTAAACATAGTTGGTTATGTCTTAAGTGAGCGTAAACAATGGAGAAAGACAATGCATGTGTAACATAGGGCTGGGCAGTATATCGAGTTTGTACAATAAATCGGTATTTTTAATATATATACATTTTATTTTTGTATACATTTTTATATTTTGCAATTGTTTTTCTTTTTATAAACGATATGGAATGAGGCAATACTGTTTATATCGATATACAGTAGTTTGAAAAATAGCGGAGGATAGAGTGAGCTGCTGTGGAGATAAGTACATAATCCACTTTGTCCTAAACATGAGCCATGCTTTATATCAAGGGCTTCAACATAACTGGTAAGATATAGTCAACACGTACAGTTTAAAGCGACTTCAGGGGAGGGCATTCCAAAGTCTTGGTGCAGAGCAACTGTATTCAACGATATTCAAACCGAACCGAAAAACCACGATACACATCCAGCACGGTACGTATCGCAAAACTCTCATGGCGTACCGAATGCGCCCCGCAACCTGCTGCCCGCCCTGATCTAGCCCATTGTTGAGGTTGACCTCACTTTACCTGGTCACAAAACAATTTTTTTTTTCTTGACATTTGTTTAAATAGTAATTAGGGGTGTAATGGTACACGTATTCGTGCCATGAATTTTCGTGTGTCTTGTGTGTTCAAGACGAATGCAGCATTGTAGCCTAACCACCAATAATCACAAAAAGCTCCGTGTTTTGTTACTTTAGATTACTTTACTTTAATGACCACAGAGAACTCGAGAACACAGGAACTCGGTTTTATGTCTCATCCGAAGGATGGTGCTCTTTGACAGAATAGAGTCCCCATCACTATACTGGGGCATTAGGACCCACACAGACAACAGGGTGATTCATCTATATTTAATTTATGCAGTAAATACTATGCAGTGTTTTTACATTTGATTTCTTTATTCAATTTCTGTACCTAATCTCTATCATTTCATTTGTATATTTGTTCTATTGTTTATTTTTGCTATTGGCTTGATTTTTTTTTTTATCATTTTATTACAGACTGTTTACTTTATTACTGTTAGAAATTTATATTTTATATTATATTTATATTTAGGCCTACATTTACATTTATTCATTTTGCAGACGCTTTTATCCAAATCGACTTACAAATGAGGAATACAACAAGCGAATTCATTGTAAAGAGGAGAATAAACACAGGAAGTGCTTAAAATTCGAAGTGTCAGACACTGCTCAGAGTAGCATAAGCTAGAATAGGAAGGGATTTTGTTTGTTTTTTATGATGAGGTTAAGTGCTCCCGGAAGAGATGAGTTTTCAGCTGTCTTGTGAATATTGTCAGGGATTCTGCATTAGAGGAAGTTTCAGCTCATTCCACCAGCAAGGAACAGTGAGGAAAAATGTTCTGGAAAGTGATTTTGTGCCTCTCTGTGATGATACCACCAGTCGCCGCTCATTTTCCGATTGTAGGCTTCTGGTAGCGATGTAGTCTCGTAAAAACGAATGAAAGTAGGAGGGAGCTGAGCCTGTGGTAGATCTGTAAGCAAGCGTCAATGCCTTGAACTTGATGCGAGCAGCAAGTGGTAGCCAGTGCAGAGAGATGAACAGAGCTGTGACGTGGGCCCTTTTGGGTAGAGCATTGCAGTAATCAAGCCTGGAATGACCAGGGCCTGGATGAGAAGTTGTTGCACGCTCAGTTAGGAAAGGCCTGATCTTTCTGATGTTGTGTAGTGCAAACCTGCATGACCGAGCTGTCTTTGAAATGTGGTCTTTGAAGGTCAGCTGGTCCCCAAAGATTACTCCAAGATTTCTGTCCGACCTTGATGGGGTAGTTGATGAGAAGCTCAGTCTTTGCCAGGTTGAGCTGTAGGTGATAATCCTTCATCCATGTTTTTTTTTTTTTTCATCTCTAAAATAGATTGAATTGTATATATTGCACTACTCTTGAATGTCTGAGCCTCAACCAAATGCATTTCAGTGTACATATTGTCTTGGACATTTATATGACAAATAAAATAAATGAACCAGAGTTTCCGCTAGAAAAACATGGTGCCGGTCAAAATGACCGGCAGAGTTTTCGTTTTACGGACATTTTGATGATATGCCGGTCAAATATCGCCCCTTAATTAGTCAAGTTGAGGAAAACTGGAGGCAGGCTATGTAACCTAAAAAATTACTTCACATATCGCGTCTTTTGGGCGCTCAAGTTCGTTATTTCAAATGTATGTGCGCTGTGCGCAGTATGCGCGCTCGTAATGGAAGTGCGACGCGCTCGTTTTTTCCAAGCGCGTCCGCGCCGCATCGAGATAAAAACATCTCGGTGTGGACTGAGGTAGGGCTGCTATTTTTATTTAACGAAAAATCTTAGTCTAACGGGAAAAATAATATATTTAGTGTTGGCCAATTTTGTGTTTTTTATTTGTACTACCGGTATTTTATCCTGTTTTTTTCTGTTGTCACTGTTAGAAATGCTGCAGGTGCGTGAAAATTTGATCTGAATCCAGGTTCTGTTGTTGATCTGTTCTGTATGCTGCTGTTTGCACTTTGCACGTTCAAATAAACCCTTTGATAAATAAATAAAAATGTTTGTAGTTTTAACGGGTCACAGATAGGCAATTTATTCTTATTTAATGCCAATTCAATATTATAATCTTATCAGTTAACGGTTAATAATCGATTAACGAGCGGCGGTTGTCGGTCGGGAAAATTAACTGAAATGAGCATCCGAACTGGATACATTTCGTTGAAATCACATATGAGGACCTCCCTTCACGGGCTGTGGAGAAATGCAATCCTCCATAGCCATGGACCGCTGTTATGACAGCGAGCGCATCACGTCGCAGGCTTACGGCATCGATAAGGAGCAGTGTCTGCAGACTCAATGCTTGTAAAATGGCAAATAATTCTTCTGATCGGTCGGTGTATTTTTGCTTTATACATTTTAGGCTTATTCTCAAATTCCGATTGTGTTAAGGGGGTGGGATTATTAGGCCATTTTAATCGGACAATTTGACCGGAGAGATTTAATTTTGTCGGACATTTCATTTTTTTCCCGGCCAATGTCCCGTAATTTAACGGACAACGGAAACCCTGAAATTAACTTGAACATATGTCCGCCAGACAGCTTGAGATTCGTGCAGTTACTGTGGGATCATCTGGTTAAATTGAAATGTAGAGCTGTGTCATCAGCATAGCAATGTTAGGAGAAATCATGTGCCTCTATGATGGGTCCCAGTGATGTAGTGTATATGGAGAAGAGGAGGGGTCCAAGAACTGAACCCTTAGGAACCCTGGTGGTCAGTTGATGTGCCTCCCCTCTTCAGGCAACCCTGAAAGACATACCTGTGACATGGGATTCAAACCAGTGAAGTGGAGTTCCTGTGATGCCCAGTGATGAGAGGGTGGACAGAAGGATCTGATGATTCACAAAGTCAGGAGATAGATCCAAAAAAGTCTGGCGAGTAAAATAAATAATTTATCCAAATTAGTGTGGGCCTGCTGATATTAAATGGTTAAATCCATATAGGCCCAGAGGCTTAGCAGTCCTCAGTCCTGGCTCTCTAGACTGCACACTTCCATTTAGAACCCACAGCTGCTTTGTGTGTAAGAAGTCGGGCTTGTATTATCGCCCACCCATGGGCTACGATCCAGGGCGCTCTCTACCCCACACACACAAACTACCATATATCTATATGCAGTGACCTACTCATTCTCTTCTCTTATCTTGTTTTTAGAGCACTGAGGAGTCTGGTGAAGAGACCCTGCCATGCGTGAATACAAGCTTGTGGTGTTGGGCTCTGGTGGTGTGGGCAAGTCAGCCCTGGTAAGTGCAGTATACAATCTCTTCCTCACCAAACCTAAGAGCAGCTAGACTCCAGTGCTTGGCCAAGCAATGATGTGATCCACAGTAATTATCTATAGTAGATGGCTGCATCCCAAATGGCTTTGGATTTCTTTGATTGGATGTGCTGTCTTTTGTCATTTAGTTCTACAGCTGTAAAAGCCTATTCACTTATCCATGCCAAGAATTCACTTTCCGTACTAAAAATTATCCACCACAAGATTGTTGAATGAAAGTACTAGTTCTGTGAATGAACACAACATTTGAATCTGAAGTATCATGATGAGATCATCCTTTACAATACTTGAACCAGCCCTAATCACTACAGTATGCAAGGTCAGTTTCTCAACTTAAATTTTTTTTAGGGGTGTCCCCTAATAGTTGACTAAATATTAGTTGATGAGAAGAGGCTCATCAAGGCTTAGTCCAAAATTGAATTAGTCGGTTAGTCGCAGAAAAAAACTGCACAGGAATTGGCAAAGTCATGCAGTCCATGCCGGACAGATCGTTACCATTGCTGGTCCATGTGGTAATTATGTGGGGCAGGAAATCCAAATGTCGCCTTTCATTCATCGACCTCAAACATGGATTATCATTTGAAACATCTTGGTAGCCTAATGTTAGCCACTTTACATGTGCATTGTATCACATGATAATTTAAATGTTAGTACATAGTAGTCACACCCAATATAAAGTAGGGGTGCGCCAAAATATCGATATGGCGATATATCACGATATTTACTCCCGCGATCGATTCTCGATGCGCTCTTGCCAAGTATCGATCTTAAAAGCCGTTATAAAACGCTCTATTCATTATCCGAGTTGACTGGATTTGACTAGCTTTCATGAGGCACACACGCAAAGTCTCTCGCTCTCTCCCGTGCTATGTATGTTATGCGTGCAGGCTGTTCTGTCTCGCATGCGCGCTCTAGATTCCGGGAGATTTGAACTAATTTGCGGGCATCAGGGAGACGCTATCATTATGCGGGAGACTCCCTGAACTTCCGTGAGACTTGGGATGTCTGGCTTTGCAAAAGTCCGCAAAACGGGAAACACGACCACATGTACAGACACCTCACGCGGCATCACCCGGAGCTCTGTGAGAAAGCCGTGGTTGGTGCTGGCTCGAAGCCGACACACCCCGGCGTAAACATTTTTATTACTACTGATTGCAGCAATGTTACACTAAAATAGTGTCTGTGACTGTTTTGTTGCAACTGATAAGACACAAGTTGTTTTTGTTATTGTGTTTCATCCCAAAAAATAAATGGAGATTAATTTTCCTAATTTAAAAAAAAATTGTATTTCTTAAAACATGATATATTGTGAGTTATTACTGATAATATGTCGATTATCGCAGTATCGCCATATCGTGATATTATCGGTATCGTGAACAATGTATCGCATATCGTATCGTATCGTGAAGTACCCAGCGATTCCCAGCCCTAATATAAAGTGGGATGAAACATGTATAAATATAGTATAAAATCTAAATTTCAAACAGTATTAAAGACAAGTAAACAGTCTGTAATAAAATAAGAACAAATAATCAAACTACAAGCAATAGCACAAACATAATAGAACAAAGATACAAATAAAATAAACCTTTTCAGGTTTTCCAGGTAGATCAAACAGTAGTTGGATGTAGATTAGGTACAGAAATTTAAAGGTGCCCTAGAATGTTTTTTTTTATTATTTTATAATGTTTCCTGGGTTACCCTTATAATGTTAGTATGTTTTTTAGATAAAAAATAATCATAATTTAGAAATAAATGGCATTTTTCCTAGCCTGCTTTTAGCCTCTGATTTGAACACTCTGTTTGAAGGGGCGTGTCTGCTGTGGGATTCAGTGTAACCGCGGCCACTGCTGTGATTGGCTGACATGCTTGCATATGAAATAGCAACGCATTACATGTGAAACTCTCTCCCGAATACTTTTACTACTGCTATTATACGTTTTTACTATAACAGCTATCGAGATTAACGAATCGTGAGATGTTTTTAAAGTATTTAGATCTATTCCCATCACATAAAATGTTGCCGTGATGAGCATTGAGCAGATGACGTGTTGATCGCGAGAATGAAGATCTTATCATTGCAAAGCAGTTTCTGCACTCTCTCTGCTTTCACCAATGCAAACACGATGATGTAAATACAGTAAGAGCTTCGTTGTGCAGTAACGTGCGTCATTGATTTCATAACGAGTTTGGCAAGTGTCCAGATAAACTCGCGCTGTGTGGAAAGATTGTTCTTTGATCGCTTTCTGTATATAATTTGTTCACAATTTAAATACGATTATTTTCATCCTACTAAAAGAAACGATGTGAAGCTGATATTTTAGTCACTGGCTTGACTTACTGATGCATAAACAGTATTGAACGATTTTGAGAGAAAGATTACCTGTCTGAACTTGAACAATTACACATCAGAAAGTGTTGCTTGGTAGCTCGATCCGAGGCCAGCTCTGTATTGGCCCAAGTTGAGGAAACAGTCGTCGGTGAAATGTTTGAAAATTTCCAGAGAAAATAAAATTAACCCATTGTTTCTTCAGAGGCTCAGATGAAGGAACTAAAAAATACTTTTGTGTTCATGTATACATCCACACTGAGCAACTGCCATGCTTCGGCTGCGCAGTTCCGCCTGGCATTGAGGGCTGGCATTATGCAAATATTTGGAGGCGTACATATTAATGATCCCGACTATTGCGTCACAGTCGGTATTGTGTGGAGAACCGACCGTTTTTCAGGGGTGTTTTTCATAAACGTGAATTAAATGAGAACGCGAAAACAGTCCAGTTTGAGATTCACTCTGTCATGTCCATGCACTGAACTCTTGTTATTTGACTATACCAAGGTAAATTCAATTTTGAATTATAGGTCACCTTTAATAAAAAATAAAATGTAAAATAACACTGCATACTTTTCACTGTATAAATGAAATATAGATGAAATTTTTTTTAAAGTTGCAGAAGTTATTTAGTCAAAAGACATAACCGACTATGTTTACTAGGATACTCGCCAAGAACGGGCATTTTGACTATTTTGTGTGAAATTGTCCATTCAAGTGAAAGAGAACTCAATTCAGTGTTTGCCTGCTTTCAGACTCGGATTTCTTGGAGTACCGAATTGAGTTCTCTTTTGCGTCGTCTTGCGCTTGAAAAAAGCCTAAAAAAAGCGTGCAAATTATACATTTTTATGAAGATGGCCCAATCGGGACAGTGACCATTCCATCAACCAACTCTTGGCCATCAGGCAGTCCTTATTTTTGAACCCTGCATTTAGATATAGCATATCAATTCTCTTTATGTGGCAAGCCTCTGTCTTTCTCTCACGTTGAGACCGCATGTGCGAGAGAAAGCATAAGAAGAATTATGCAATGCAAAATCTCACTCGATCCCCCTTCCACTCCTGCCGTCTGACTGATTTCTTAAGCGAGGACAGTACAGTAGTCACGGTACTTCTAAATCCTTAAGGTAAACGAGTTGAGGTGGATGTTTTACCATGTTCTGTACTGTAGTAAGTGTTTTTTGGCAGAATGAATAAATAAAAGACAGACATACAGGAAATATGAGTATTAGTTTTGCTTAGAGATCAGCGTTTTACTCTAAAATACTGCCTTAACAGGAATTCAAACATAATTTAGACCTATACCATTTTCCAATTGTAGGCTTTAACACTTCAGCACAACATAATGTTCAATTTAACAAAGATTTTTAAACTGAAATCATGGATGACTGACAACCGCGAGTCTGGAGAAACGGGCGTTTATTTATTCTTTCTCAGTGTTGAGAAACGTAGCCTACATGTTACGTTATTGTGTTAATAATAACTAAAGTACCTAATTATGTTACATATTTATTTTGTATGAAAACTAGCACGCTAGTTACTTATGGATTAAAAAGTTCCATTGTCTCGTTTGAAAATTGAAAATGTGAAAATTGACGTGCTAGATTTAAATTTTGTTCTTTGCTTTTTTTCGGTCAAAATGTCAGAAAGCTTTTTGTATTATCCATCCGTCTTTACAAAACCTTCATTTAAACGACTGTCAAATTAGTCGTTGTGCACATCCCTAATGTAAATACTTGAAATTGCAAACGAAATTTTTTATTTCCATTTATATTAAATAATTGAATGCGATTCACTTGTGGTTATTAGTTTGTATAAGCACACATTATGCAATGCAATATTAATCATGAATGAAGTCGGCAGACTCAGCAGACAATTTTGAGGAAAAATCAAGTTAGTTTTCTGAAGGTTCCAAAACGAAATCACCTACCAACCTTAAAATCCCTGGTAATACCACCAAATTTGGCACACACCAAGTCCAAACCAAATATCTATTGGAAAAATATATATTCAACTTTTTCCCCCATTATACCACAATTTTTTTATTTAAAGGCATACTCCACTTTTTTTGGAAATAGGCTCATTTTACAACTCCCCCAGAGTTAAATTGTTGAGTTTTACCGTTTTTGAATCCATTCAGCCGATCTCCGGTTCTGGCGGTACCACTTTTAGCATAGCTTAGCATACATCATTGAAGTGGACAAGACCATTAGCATTTCTAAAAAAAAAATGACCAAAGATATTCGATATTTTTCCTATTTAAAACTTGACTCTTCTGTAGTTACATCGTGCACTAAAACCGACGGAAAATGTAAAGTTGCGATTTTCTAGGCTGATATGGCTAGGAACTATGCTCTCATTCCTGCGTAATAATCAAGAAACTTCACTGCCGTGCCATGAGAGCAGCAGCCGTAATGATATGACGCAGCGCCTGAAAATAGGCTACCTTCCGTCAACAACGGAACTATTTTCAGACGCTGCGTCATATCATTACGCCTGCTGCTCTCATGGTACGGCAGTAAAGTTTCTTGATTATTACGCAGGAATGAGAGCATAATTCCTAGCCATATCAGCCTAGAAAATCGCAACTTTACATTTTCCGTCGGTCTTAGTGCACGATGTAACTACAGAAGAGTC